GAGGCGGCTGGTGGAGCTCATCGCAGCTGGGGCAGTGTGCTGGAAGTAAGGCTTTTTTTTTGGAAAGAAAAAGCAGGTTGTTCGCCTTCGCACCCCCCGCCTCCCGTGCAAGTATATTTGGGAAGAGCGAGGGCCTCTCCTGCCCGTTTTCATTTGTTTCCAGAGCGAGTTGTGGCTGGTCAGTGGAGCTGAACAGGGGGGGGGATGAAGGAGAGCAACGTGGCATTCACGTCGTAAATTTGTGGAAGTTTTTAGTGTGTGAACAGGGGGAGGTATGAAGGAGAGCAACGTGGCATTCACGTCGTAAATTTGTGGAAGTTTTTAGTGTGAGAGTAGCGCTATGGCGCTAACCTACCCCTTTCATATATTCGGATTTGATTAGCCCTTGACGTCTGGCGAGGCTGGGGGAATAGGACAGTCCTCACAGCCTTTGTTTAATATTGTTGGTGGTAGTAGTATCTAAGATAAAAGAGGATACAGGAATATATGATGAATGCCTCCCTTATAACTATTTTTCATGGAGCATCCTTTGTAATCTGAAGGAAAATTTCTCCTCACTTTTTTTTGTTGCTTAGGCAGCATGTATACTTGCTTTCAAGTAACTTCACCTTGCTTCAGACAGTAACTTCAAGCAACTCAACATTCCATATTGTGACCAAACTATTGCAGGATATATAAATTCCCTGTAAAAGTGGTATTCTGTAGTGCAGTACTATCCACTAGAAGTGTCTTGAGTTGGATGCAGAAGCTTTTCTGTGGTGTTTTGTTTTTTGGGTTTTGGTTTTCCTAACTTTTTCTTTGACATGATTTTTCATGTAGGCTAGTTTGGAGGATTATGAAGAAACAGTAAAGAAGGCTAAAGAGGCATGGAAGGTCTGGGCTGATGTAAGTTAACAGAGACTTATCTTTTGTAACATATCTTTGGCGGGTAAAGGCCATTAAATTGCCCTGTCAGGTGCCAGTATAAAAGCATGATCAGATTGTGTATGTTGCATTAAAGCAAAACCTGTAATGAGGACTTCAAGAGCCAAACCCAGACAACTTGCACATGTTACCATTGAGGTACAAAGATGAGGACATTGACTTGTGGAAAATGTTTATTTTGAAATGTCTGGCAAATTTACCCAGCTTTGTGCCTGTAAACCGTTGCCAACAGGCCTGCTGAAGTTCAGAAACCTTCTAACAGGCAAATTATCCCAAACTCGTGTTGCTGCATGCTTTTTCCTGCGAGAACTCTGCAGAATATTTGGATACCTAACTTGTGGTGATAATCTTGTTCTCATGGGTGAGGAAGACTGCTGGTTTTGAGTGTGCTTTTTTTTTGTTCACCAGCCATCATGATTATTTCATAGAACAGCTACATTACTCCAAAATTCTAGTGTTATGTTGCTGTGTGAGACAATAGCAGTTAATTGTCAGACAATTTTTCTTTAGCAAGCTGTAGTTCTTAGTGTCCCTGTACAAGCTATGTCCAGCTAGCATCCATTATCTTGCTGGGCATGTAAGGCTTGGTTTTTATAGCTACCTGCCACTTCTTTGATACAAGCTGAAACCTGAATTTCATAAGGTGTTGGGAATTCTGTATTTTATCCAGCAAAGTAGTTGCCTTGCCTGAAGAGAACAAAGCTTAGGACAAACACAGCAGCTTCCTCAGGATATGTTAGTACATGTTCTTTTGTTACAATTTTGAATATAATGTTGATGAGTGCATGCCAGCTCCTAATGTGTTTGGAAATAATCTGAAAGCAGTCTAACAGATAACAAAGAATTAACAGGTCAAATGCTTTAAAGCCTCATCTCAAAGCGCTTTGTTTTCAGTTTACGAATTTTGGGGTTTTTTAGTGAGCTTATCTGAAAGATTTTGCCTTTAAAGAGATATGCTTGCATAGTTTATATATTCACCACTTCTGTCTTTCCAGCTGCCTGTTCATCAGCAGTTTCTCATGGTGTAAATCCCTTTTTATAAATAATAAGCCATTTGTATGGTTTATTATTGATCCTAGCTATTGATTATTATCTAACGTACTGATACCACATTACAAAAAAATCTATTAACGTTTGGTATGTGTGTTTAATTTTTCCATGATTGAAGCTTCTGTGTGTCTCAGCATCTGCTAACAAAATAAATGTCGGCGGCCATTGTCGTACTGAAACAAAAGGTTTGAAATGTGGTGTTACATACGCTTCAAAAGCTCAGAACCCAGTTAAATTTGCTTTTATAAAAGGTCATTGTTTCTTGAGGTGCAGCTGATTTTTTGGGGGCATTGTGGGTGGTATAGCTGAACAGAAGTAGCAGAATTAAAAATCTGAACATTTCTGGCAATATGCAGTGGAACTGAAGTTTTGAACAGACATAAACATGTGCAGTGTTATCAGTCTCTGTGAGGCAGGAAACAGTTTCTTGTAAAGCAGTGCGCATGATAAAATGAACAAGTAATGATGTCTTGGGAAGATGGGGGAAAAGCACAGCAGTCAGTGATTTCTTACAGCAGGGGTAAAAAACTAGCAGTATATATGCAGCCAAAGTCATAGATGTTCAATCTCAAATAGATTCTTCTGTTTTCTTTTGTTTTGACTAGATCCCTGCACCTAAGCGTGGAGAAATAGTGCGGCAGATTGGTGATGCCCTGAGGCAAAAAATCAAAGTTCTAGGAAGCTTGGTAAGGTGTTTTAAGCAGCAGCTTAACTTGGTGGGGTGGGAGTGGGAGGGTGTGTGTCAAAACTATTTTTCTTGTTTTTTAACGTGCTACTGTGCAATACTAACCTTAAGAATTGTTAGAACGCTGTTAATTCTGTTAGCTTGCCTAAAGAAATTTTAATTAAAAAAAAAAAAAGAAAGTAAGATTGCATTCTGGCATCCTGCACTGAAAGTGATAATATATAACAGGAAAAGAAAGTGTAATTCATTGTGAGCCTGTACTCTGGCTGGGAGTAGTGTTACAACTGTTGCCCTGCTGTTTTCCCACTTGCTTGTCAGGTAGGGCACTGTCTGATACTAAAAGTGTCCTGAAAAAGACCTTCCTCTAATACAGAGCTTTTAACCTTGAGCTCTTTCTGGTGATCCGCAGGACTTTGCAAACTGACATGTGGAGGTGTAAGGCTTCAGAAGGTGAGATGGTCTTAATGAGATTTTCTTGCAGTGCTGTGCAGGACATAAAGGTTGAAGGACTGCTCCTTTAAAACGCTTGCTAGTTCCTAGGGAAGAAAAGGAGGCAAGTGGGGAACTTGCCACTTTCCTTTTACAGGGCTTGCCTATATGTGCTGCTATTCAGAAACAGCTGTCAGTGAATAACTCCGTATGTAGCCAAGCCCATATTGTTAACCTTCAAAACTTTGTTCTGCTGTTTCCCTTGATGTCATCTCCTCAGCAGAGTTTCTGTGGTAGAATTAGAGTGCTAATGTACTTTTGTATTCAAAAACAGTACGGCTTCCCTGGTGGGTGTAGACAGACAGAAGTTTGCTGTGTGTTCCTTGGACAAAACTTGTTGCTTATTGCCAGAGCATTGTTCTAGTTTTCCCAAACAGATAAGGTCTCCAGCTCTTACAGGATAGGTGATGAATTTCAGGGTGAAAGCTGTGCAGTAGGTATCCAGGTTTTAGGACCTTTCCTGGCTGTAGGATATGTGAAAGGGAACAGTATGGCAACTCACCTTTTCATATGGTATTGGAAATTTCCAGCCTTGCCTCACAATGTCCTTGTCAAGTATCCAGTTGTATCTCTACTGCACTTACACAGACTCGCTGCTGTTTCTTAGTAAATATGTCTGACGCTTCTCCATTTCCTGCCACAAGCAGAGGCTATTCCTTCTGTCCTGAGATGACCACAGACATCATAGAAATCATAGAATCATAGAATAGTTTGGGTTGGAAGGGACCTTTAAAGGTCATCTAGCCAACCCCCCTGCAACGAGGAGGGACATCTTCAACTAGATTGGGTTGCTCAGAGCCCTGTCCAACCTGACCTGGAATGTGTCCAGGAATGGGGCATCTTCCATCTCTCTGGGCAGCCTGTTCCAGAATATATATCTAGAAATATATTTAGTTACCTTTATTTTAACCTTTGCATGGGGAATAAAATCTTGTGGCAATCCTTTGAACCTGATTCCTCACTTAACAGCTTTTTCAAAGTACAGTCATCAATCTAAAGCGGTAGGTGATATCTGCATGAAAGTTGCACCTAGCTGTCAGATCATGACTGTAAAATTCAGTGGGGGTAACTGGTGACTTCTCAGTTCTTAAGTTAGTGACTTTATTTTGGAGGAAAATGTCTTCAAATACCAGCTTATTGTCATTGATAATCTGTATGTTCACTGGGTACATCTAACATGCTTTTAACAGAAGGACATAGCTTAGGACTGACTTTAGTTAAAAAAAAAAAAAAATCCTAAATTACCCAGGTTACTAACATACAGAAAATGTGTAGACGTTTTCAGAGTGTCTGAAAATGGGATCTCTCAAACTCACTTTGAGATGTCTAAAATGAGTAGTTTGCTTACAGAAAATGTAAATGACTGTTTTCTTTTGCTGAAGCACAGTAATCCCTCCTTTCCAATTTATTCCATGCCTGGTCCACAATGTATGCAAACACCCTGATGAAATGCAGTGTTTCATTGATCTAAACCTATGAACGTCGTTACTGTTGGGTATTCCAGTCAGTAGATTATTTTTCATTTCCTCTGTTCATTAATTTCCTCTTCTAATTTCTGCCTGTTGTATGGGAATGTGATTCCTCTCTAGCTGTCTGTTGTGTTCTTTCTTTAAACTGTGAATAACTCTGGAAGAGGTGAATTTCTTCTACTGGAAAAAAAATGTGTGGTAGATCTTACTTGGTGTACAGATATACCTCATATTAGTGGGAGACAAACTGTATCGGGGATGCAATAGAATTTTTTAAAAAAGAATTTTGTCTTGCTCTTAATTTTTTCAGGTCTCTTTAGAAATGGGAAAGATTTTTGTTGAGGGTGTTGGGGAAGTGCAGGAGTATGTTGATGTCTGCGACTATGCTGTTGGTTTGTCCCGAATGATTGGTGGACCTATTTTGCCTTCAGAAAGTAAGTATGTTGGTTTGTGTTGGGTTTTTTTTTGTGGTTGTTGTTTGTAGTTGTCTTTACAAATGAAAGATGGAGATGTATCAAATACACAGTGTTGTACAGCAAAATCTCTGCACTGCGAGTTACTTAGGAGCATGCTGCCTAGGAATAGATGTGCTGGTAGCGCCACCTAATGAAGTCACTGGTCTGTGGCGTTCAGCAAGAGAGGCGGTAGATTTTCTCTCCGCTTTTTGAAGCGTTAGATTCTCTTTGATTTCTTGGTTAATGAAGGTGCTAGAGGAAAGTATGTAAAAAGGTCATCAGTGTACGTACAAGTGAGAGGCCTTTTTGTCAGTTATTGATTCGTAAACAATCGTCATTCTTTTAACTGAATAGTTAAAATAGTAAAACTTCATGTTGTTGTCTTACTAGTTTTTTCCACAGTCAAGCTAATATTGTTTCAGTAAACAACAGAGCACATATAGTACAGCTGTCCATAAGCTAATGCGCTGATGGACAGAGGAGTTGTTCTAGGCCCCTTGCTCACATGATTTCCTTTTTAAAAAAAAAACCACTAAATGCATACAAATTGCGTTGCCTTGTGTCTTTGCCTTCAGGACCTGGCCATGCCCTTATAGAGCAATGGAATCCTGTTGGTTTAGTAGGAATCATCACAGCCTTTAACTTCCCTGTAGCGGTTTATGGGTGGAACAGCGCAATTGCAATGATCTGTGGAAATGCTTGCCTCTGGTAAGATATAGCTCTCCAACGTGCTAATGATATTTTAAAATTAGAGATCTATTTTCTCAGGCATGAAATTGTTATTAAATGTCTTGTGTTTATGTATATTTTATTCTATCTCATGTAGGATTAATTTCTACTTATTTTTAGGCTCACTTCTAGTTAAAGAGCTTTGCTCTATTTTGTGGTAACCTCTTTTACGAAGTATTGAGATTCAAGCCTGTCCTTAGCCAAATGGCCTGTTAATAAAGAACCTCAATTGAGGTCTTGCAGCAGTGGTAGAAAACAGTTAATATTTTCAGAATTGGTACAGCTAAAGTTAAGAATCTAAGAAAGTAGGTTTACCTCCTCTCCCTGTTTCTGTGTCACTTTCATCTACTTGTTTCACTCTGGCATAACTCTTGTTCATGTGGATTTCAGTAGAAGCTCTGAATGCTCAGCTGTGGAAAGAAATGCTTGAGTGCCTGTCTTAACACACACCTGAAAACCAGCCTAACCAAAGTGTACTGTATTTGAGATACCATAAAAATTGCATATTTGAATTACTGCTTATTCTCAAAGAACTGAAAATAAAATTAAGTCTTTTTTAACATTTTTTTTTTTCTTTTTAGGAAGGGTGCTCCTACAACATCCCTCATTAGCGTCGCCGTCACAAAGTGAGTTCTGGTGTCTTTGCTTTCTGTTTTGCTTTTTAAATAACTTCTTTTCTGTTTCAGGTGGTGGTTAGCAGCCAGAAGAACTGCTTTCCCCTTGTTACCTAAGAAATAATAGTATATATGGGATGCTACTTATACTGCTGGCCAGTTTTTTTCTGGGACCAGGGCTGTGCTTCTGCTGAAGTAGGGCTAGCTATTTGGTTTGCTTCCCTGTAGAAGATGAACTTGCTCATGAAATTTGGCTTCCCTCTATCATGCGCTCATACTTCAGAATCATCCCTTTTTTTGGGAGTCTCAGCCCAACATCAACACCCAGTTTCTTGGCAAGTTCTTCTGGCTGTCTGTGTAGACCTATATCCTGAAGATGCTTTCACACAATCTTTATTAATCCAAACATAGTAACACCTTAGCATGTGTTTCCAGGGTTCGAAACTCATTCTTGATGAAAAGGAGAACTCCAAAGAATAAGTGTCATGGTGATACTTACTCTGGGTTTATTGTTACTTTGCTTACTGTACTAGCATTTTAATACTTAGCTATTGTGTGCTACAAATAACATTTCTTTTTGAATGCTAAATATAAATAAGCCCCTTTAAAATAACTAATTAGTAAGTTTTGTATCTTTAATATTAACTCTTGGGAACATGGCCTCAAACTACTTAAACTATTTTATGTAACTCCATGAAGTTATATAAACGTCTCTTTCTCATGGTGAAAGACTGCATGGCCAAGGTTTTTACAAACTGATCTAATGTTTGTCTGTGTCAGTTGTGTGGACGCATGATGAATATATTTTGAGTCATATTTCTGTGTGAGCTATAAGTGTAATACCAAAGCCCTTGATGAGAGCAGTGCGTTATGTATTGTATAAACTATATGTCAATTAACTGCAAGACTGCTGCTTGTTAAAAATCTGTAGCTTTTTCATGTGCATGGTCAGACAGTTCTAATGGTTTATTCCCTATTATACACACCAGTCAGAGATCTCTGAAATTTTTACATCTTTGATTCTAGGATAATTGCCAAAGTCTTGGAGGATAACAAAGTGCCTGGAGCAATTTGTTCTCTGGTTTGTGGTGGAGCAGACATTGGGTAGGTAACATTTCTTGTGTTTCATGAAGATGTATAGATGATAAAGAATATTTTTTGAGGTACTTCTCATAAAGTTATTCTGACTTCCAGGAGTTCCAAGTATACGCACATACCTGTTGCCATCATTTTTATCAACTGGTCTGAAACTCTGGCCTTTTTGTAAATATAATACCTATTTCTACTTGCTATTTTGAGATCAGCTGCTAACAAGTATCTGAGCAGATATTTAATAGAGACATGACTAAGTTTATATTCTACTTCTGCATATGCTTACATCCAAAGAATACGGCTAATATTAAATTCCACTCATGTTAAGAGTTTCCAATTTCTTCCTCGTTTTCCACGCTCGCATTGGACTCTGCACTTGCTCATAGATGCATACTTGTGCTTGGAAGCTGTACAAATCAAATTGTTTTGTTTGATTATTACAATATGGCAATTCCCAGTACAAATGTATATTCAGATGTATCTTTTTGAGCATTTCAAGAGAAGACAAAACAGATGGTAAGCAGTAAAAAAAGTCATAGGTATACATATTTTCTTAGGGAAAGAACATAACAACTGGAGTTAATGTCACTATGTACTTTAGACTGAATTTCAAAATCAGTACAGGTGATGCTCTTATGGTCTGAAATGGGTGAGGGAAACAGCCTTGTTCCTCTTTTCTAAGAAAAAGCTTTCCTGCCATCTGCTCAGTCACTTAATGGATGTTTTCAAAGAAGTGGCTGTGACTTTAGATCTCGCTGGTGGAAGTTGGTTTATATGGAAGATGCAAGCACCTTTTCCAGCTGTCTGCTCTTCCATTGAACATGGTGAATGTCTCCTGTTGTGCAGGACAGCAATGGCGAGAGATGAGAGAATGGACCTATTGTCCTTCACTGGCAGCACAAAAGTGGGCAAGCAGGTAGCACTCATGGTTCAGGAGAGATTTGGTGAGTGTGTGAAGTGTCCTCCATTTCTTTTCATGGTTGGGAAAGGCAGGGCAGCCCCGTAGCGTTTTAAAATAACAGCTTGTTTCACTTACCTCTTGTGTTCCTTTTTTTTTTTTTTTTTAATAACTTGGTGGAAATAGGATGTTGAGATGGCTCAGAGCTAGATACTGCATTGTTCCATTAGTTCTGTCACAACTCAGCATTGTCTCAGGGTATCCACAAATGCATGGTCCTACAGTTAGTTCTGGGAGGGGCTCCATAAGTATAATTCTATGCACATTGTCAAGATGAACGAGGGCCTATGGCCTTTTGGCAATGTGTTCATGGAAAAATGCCCCCTTAACTTTTCTTCTGTATTTCTAAGGGGTAAAAGTATTATTTTTAGGTGCTGGTTTTGTGGCAAATATTTAAAGGTGTACAGGCATGAATCTGTGCACAGCTACTAGATTCTAATTTTTTCGTTTAAAACAGAAAACCTTGTGAACAGGATTTTCTCATTTTATATCTGACATTCAGAGGAGTGTAAAAAAAATTACCAGAACAGATTGCAAAGGTTCATTCCTTTAATGAAACTTAGCACTAGTTAAGAGGTGAGCTCACTGAATGAGGTGCAGCGAATACATGCACGCATGACATAACTTGTTTTGTCTGTTCTTATTAGGTCGAAGTCTGCTGGAACTGGGAGGAAACAATGCCATTATCGGTAATATGCACTGTAGAAATTTAGTCCCATAGATGATATTTGGTAGTTAATATGCAAATGTTTGTAGCAAATTGTCCTTTTTTTTAACCACACTAGAGGTTTAAAAAGTACATAGTAGAATGTTGGGGGTTTTTTTCTGTCTTCAGTATCGTGTATGGGTAGTGTTCTAAGATAAAAAATGAAAGTTCAAGCTTTTACGTGTATTCAGCATTGAAGTGAAGAAGGCAATGGGAGCAGGAAGCTTCAGTAATGGGATGTGAATAATGCTAAATAAATTTGGTTTTTGGATAGTTCTAATCACTTGAACACCACATTTTTAGCATTTTACAATATAAGTACATATATAAAGTCTAAGACTAAAGTCCTGCCTTTCCTGAAATTGGCTTTGAATGATGGCATAAAACATTGTTTGGTTGGACTTTATCCCAAATTTAATAATAATTTTGGATAGTTAGAGAATTCTTTGGGACTGGTTAAAGTGAGTGATATTTTGGTGATCCTTTGAGGCTTATACATACTAGCTTTGCTTTAAACATCCCAAGGTCTTCTAGAAGATGAATTTGTTCAGCTCGTTTATATTTTAAATTATTGTGTACCGGTATGCCTTAGCTACTTTTTCTGCATGCAATCTGGATACACTTTACTATTGTTTCTTTATGCAGCTACATGTCTTCTCAGTGAGAGAAGGACAAGGTGACAAAATGGCAAGAAACTGCTTGTAGTTTCTTGAATTAAAACAACGCTGATGTTCTTTGCAAGCTTTATTGCAGAAGGTATTATATATATACGCAGATATTATATA